AACTCTCTAGTCTTTGTGTTAAGGTTGTTTAATAGGGTGTGGGATTCTGGCCAACTTCCTTCAGTGTGGAAACAAGCGATAATAGTGCCCATCCTAAAGCCAGGGAAAGACCCTTCAGATCCATCTAGCTACAGGCCTATTGCCCTGACATCTCATTTATGCAAAATCATGGAGAGAATGGTTACAGAAAGGTTAACATATATCTTAGAAAGTAAAGATCTGTTGTCCCCATATCAAAGTGGCTTCCAGAGGGGTCGGAATACAATGGATTCTATATTGTGCTTAGAATCAGACATCAGGAAAGCACAGACCAATAAGGAAGTAGTGATTGCAGTCTTCTTTGATATTGGAAAGGCTTATGACATGCTCTGGAAGAAGGACTACTAATCAAGTTAAAATCATTGGGAATTGGTGGTAAAGCATATAATTGGGTTATGAATTTTTCACTGGACAGAAAAATACAAGTAAGAGTAGGTGCAGAATATTCAAGTGTTTATGCTGTGGAAAATGGCACTCCGCAAGGTAGTGTATGTAGTCCGTTGCTGTTCAATATAATGATACATGACATCTTTAATCAAGTTCATCCAAGTATGGGAACATCTTTGTATGCAGATGATGGGGTATGGGCATAGATATGTCTCATAATTATTTGTTTGAACATAAAAATAATTTGTATCTAATGCATCTAACGTTCCGCTGTTCATTATAATACAAAAACAGAGCATTAAACAAACCATCATGCTCTTACTTTGAAATCATGCGGAAATGTCGCCATCAGCAGGCCATCACGTGGTTTCCGAAAATAACCGAGTGACACGAGTAGATTTTAGCCGAGACCGGCGGAAAATATGTCTCAAAATTCCGTGTGTGTAAAAAGATGATCCGCGAACAGAGATTTGAGATCCGTGAACAGAGATTTGAGATCCGCAAGTGCATTTTTGGTCCACAAATACAAAATGGATTCACAAATGCCTGATCGAAAGGTGTAAATGTGAAAGAGATATTCACAGATCTTTTTTTTATTTGTGAACATATTTAGCGTATTTGCAGATCCGTTTTACACTTGCAAATGTATTTGTGAGTTTGCAAATCTTTTAAATGCATTTGTGGATGTTGTTTTACATTTACAAATCACATATTTACACACAAATTATTGTTATGTTCACACAAATAATTATGAGACATATCTATGCCCATAATGGGGCTTTGTGGGCAAAAGGCCGCAATGTAGCACATGTTGGAAAGAAAATACAAGCTGCAATAGTTGAAGTGGAGAAATGGACAAATAAATGGGGATTCAAACTGTCAGTCGCTAAGACGCAGGTCATTTGTTTTACAAAACGGCATAACATTGCTCCTATATCGTTAAAATTGTATGAGCAACCTCTTGAACAGGTTAATACAATAAGATTTCTTGGTGTTTGGTTTGACGAAAAGTTAACATGGAGCAATCATATAGGAAAAGTTCAAAATAAATGTAAAAAGGTCAACAATGTACTTCGTGTTTGGCGGGACAGGAGTGGGGAGCGAGTAGGTCATCACTTCTGAATATATATTGGGCACTCATGAGACCTGTATTTGATTATGGGTGTATAGCGTTCATGGCAGCAGCAGAATCAAACCTTAAAAACCTGGATGTCCTACAAGCTCAGGCCCTGAGAATATGTAGTGGAGCTTTTAAAACATCTCCAGTATCAGCAATACAGGTGGAAATGGGAGAAATGCCTTTAAGGATAAGAAGAGTGAAGTTAATGTTGACATACTGGGTAAACCTTCAGGGGCATAGTGATAGTCATCCTGCGAAAAGTATCTTGAAAGATTGCTGGGAGCACAACCAGTCACATTTAACAAGTTTTGGATGGATTGGCGATGTTAAAGCAGCAAGTATAGGTTTGAATCAAATACAGTATTGCCCCACAGCTCCAATCTCATCCATTCCACCCTAGTTGTTCCCATTGCCAAGTGTAGACCTCAATATACGAGAGGAGTTAAAGGAAAATAAAGAACTACCAGTATGGCGCATAGTCCAGAAATATTTTTGCAAGATATCACTCAGACTCAACAATCATATTTACAGATGGTTCCAAAGATCCAGAGACAGGGCGTGCAGGGGCAGCAGTGTATATCCCAGTGAGTAATACACATATAAAGAAAAGGGTAACAGACCATGTGTCAGTATTAGGGCCGGGACTCGATTAAAAAAATTAATCTAATTAATTAGAGGCTTTGTAATTAATTAATCGAAATTAATCGCATTTTTAATCGCATATAAATATTTGACCTGAGAACAGTGAGAAGCAATTTTTTTCACATGGATTTTAGTATACCATTAGGCGCATTCACACCGCAGTACTTTTCCCACAAAGGTTCATGAGAACAAATGAAGCCGCTGACGTCACTTCTTCTTCTTCTGCTTTGGGTTTACTGGCAGGCCGCAAACCACTTCACGGCGTATACTGCCGCCCAAAGTCCCCGGCCGGAAGTCCCCGGAGTTGGGGACTGGCTTCATTAGAAGCTGCTGGGAGTCCCAGCAGCTTCTACTGAAGCCTTCTGAGTAAATCGCCAGAACGCCGACACCTCCTCATCTCCACCGCTCCCATGTTTTATTTTGTGTTGCCATAAGTTAGTCTCTCTGCGTTTCTGCACTGGGCTAATGCTAATGCTAATAATGCTAATGCGAGGATAATAAAATGGCGGCTTCACCAAACTTTTTGGGAGTTTTACGGGGCGTGGTTTGCAATCCGCCCAGCCAATCAGAAATATAGCTCTTTTCTCACAAGAGAGCCGTACGAAAGTCCCTGCTCTCTAGCAGCTCTCTGCTCTCTAGCAGGGACTTTCGTGGGGGTAAAAAGGTTCTCATGAACTAATTTTAGTACCGGCTCTTTTTGGTGTGAACCATAGACTGTATGGTGTGAACGCGATAAAAGAGGCTAACGTCCACGCTAGCTGCTATATGTTTTGCATTGAGGTGATACTTGAGGCTTGATGTGCTGCGGTGATATGCGAATTCCTTTTTGCATAATTTGCACCCAATCGACGCTTCCATCCGTCCGTTTTTTAAAACAACATTTCCCACTGTTGTTCACTGTGGTTTGTTGTTGTCTGAAGTCATGAACGTTAGTTGGTGCTCCAGTATAATCGGTACGCCTGAAACTCATCCAGTGAGAAACGTTCCGCGGTGCAAAAATAAGTGCGATTAAAATGCGTTAATTTTTTTAACGCGTTAATTTTTGTGTAATTAATTCATCTTAATTAACGCGTTAAAGTCCCGGCCCTAGTCAGTATACACCACAGAGTTGTTGGCATTGGTACTGTCATTGAAATGGATAGAGGAGAACGAAATACATAACAGTGCAATTGCATCTGACAGCTTTTCAGCATTATCAAGTATACGATCAGGCAGATCTTCATCTAGAACGGACATAATGAATGAAATATTTCTAATTTTATATAAAATGCAAAACAAAGGCATTGCAACTCGTTTCATCTGGGTTCCTGCTCATGTTGGTGTGGAGGGTAATGAACAGATGGATATTCTGGCCAAACAAACACTCAGAATTATGAACATAGACATAGAAGTTCCACTCAGCAAAGCGGAGGTTCAAACATTCATTCAGAAATATGCACAAACAACATGGCAAGATCATTGGGACCTTAGTGATACAGGAAGACATCTTTATGACATTCAAATGTATGTGGGGGGATGGAAGAAAGGTGGGGTTTAAAAGAAGGGAGGAACATGTCATTTCTCGGATGAGAATAGGTCATACAGGTCTCAATCATACATTAAGTATAATAGGAAAGCATCCAACCGGAAAGTGTATACACTGTAGCCAGCCAGAAACTGTTGAGCATGTTTTACTGCTTTGCAGGAAATATAGTACTCAGAGAAATGTGCTTTTCCAGACACTGAAGAAAGCAAAATTCCATGACTTGTCGCTATCAGGGCTGTTAGGGAAAAAAATCAGGCAATATATATTGTGAGATTATTAAATTTCTAAGAGAAATTGATAAATTTAAAATAATCTAGAGTTTTGGTTCTTTGTTTTGTTTATTTTGTTTATTGTTTTCTGCATAGTCTCTTGTCCACACTCCAGTCCAGTTGGTGGCGGTAATGCACCTACAAGTTGGTTTGCCAACCGCCAATAAACACTAAAGAAGAAGAAGAAGTTAAGAGATGGAATGATATGATGATTCACACTCATGTACAGTAGGTGGCGGTATGCACCTTTAAAGTTGTTTGCAATCCGCCAAAAACCGAGAGAAGAAAAAGAAGAAGCTCCTTGTAACCTTGATCCATGTGGCGTCTCGTCTCTACGGTTATCTCTCTCTGAGGTTCCCGATAGTGTTTGTGAGCTCCAGCTCTACTGATCCATCATCTGTGTGTCTGGATAAACCTCCGAATGGACTCTGTGCTCTTTTTTCTGGAGCGTTTACCTCGGACTAGAGGAGCTAGCTTAGCATGCTAGCTGGAAACACGTTAGCAACACTAGTCAGATTGAGAGTTTGATGGAGAGAGAAACGGTGTGTTTAACGGAGTTTGCAGGAAAAGGTGATCAAGTAAACATGAGTAGAGTCCAAATGCTGCTGTCGTTGAAGAAGCAGCGATTCACTGCTGCTGCTGAAGAGATATTTGCTCTGTTTGAAAAAACGATAGCAGAGCTCGAGGAGGAGCTGTCTCTTTCCAAAGAGGAGAACGAGAGACTCCAGAAACTACTGGACGCTGTTTTACAGCCTGAGCTTCGGATACACAGAGCAGGTCTGTTCCCTTTACTCTTAAACACTTTACTCTTTGGTAACACTTTTTATTAGTGCTGGGCAGTGGCGGCGCCAGGGTATGGCTGGGGTAGGCTACAGCCATACCAATAAATGGCTTAGCCCTACCTTAGCCCGACCATGAAAAATTATGTTAAAGTAAGCATGTTGAGAACACGGATTGCGAAAATCTACCGGTCGTATCCACAACACACAAACTGATCCTGCTGTAACAACAAGTGCACGTTACTGACGCAATATGGTTGAGACCATTCGGGCTTATGTTAGAGGGGTGCAAGGAATAGTCTAAGTAGTGGGGGAGTTTTATACACTAAAGGTGTGAACATTCTCTTGCGTTATAATGGTTATAATATCAGCGCGGCCGCGGTCAGATCAAAATGCCTCCGAATGCAATTTGAATAGACCTACAGCCAATCAGAGCAACAAAACGTTGCTGCGTAATGCATTACTGATAGGCCTACGTCACGTTCACAGTGAAAAGTCCCCAAACTCGCGCCGAGAAAATTGCAGAACTTCTATGCTTCATTGTATATTTCGGATCAGATGGATAGATTTCTTCTTAAACGCCCTCGCATTGAGGTCGAACAAGTCGAACAGGTGCCAGAGTCACACGACCCACCTGAAGAGGATGCCAGCCAGCGGGGACCCGATGGGATTGGAGAGGCCAGAGGTGGCGAAGATGAGGAAAATGTGGAGCAGGAAGCCGCTAACGTGAGCGACATCAGCCAAGGAACTGAGTCTGCTAGCGACATTAGCCAAGGACCCGGAGATGGACCAAAACGTCCAATTAGAAACAATTATCCGTCAAGACAGATTGGAAGCCAGCAACGGTCTTTTAATGGGGCCTGGTTTGACACATACAGCTGGGTCGAATATTCAGTTGAAACTGACTCCGTGTTTTGCTTTGCCTGTCGTCATTTTTTGGGTGCCGGGAAGCGATTCCATTCCGAGCCTGCCTTTACCAATTGATTTAAAAACTGGAAAAATGCAACAGGAGCTTTCAAAAAACACAACGGGAGTGCAGCACACAGGTTTGCCATGGAGGCATGGGCTCAATTTAAACAGACAACGAAAGATGGCTCAAGACTGGGAAACATGATTGATGCAGGTCATTTAAAACTTGTGAAAGAAAACCGTGAGTACATGAAGGCCGTGGTGATGGCCTTACGTTATACTGCATGTCAAGGCATTGCACAGCGAGGTCACCGGGAGCAGGAAGGTGAGGAGAACTCGGTTAATAGGGGAAACTTCCGAGAGCTGCTACACTTAATTGGTGAATTTAACGTGACCGTAGCAATGAAACTGAACGACAATCCTCAAAATGCTAAATACACACATCAAGACATCCAAAACGAGATTTTCCAGATAATGGCAGATATGGTCCGAAGTGAAATAAGTGCAGAAATTAGGGAAGCTGAATGTTTCGCCCTAATGGTGGACGAAACCAAAGATGTCAGTAAAAGCGAGCAACTGTCCATCGTTGTACGTTATCTAAAAGGAGAACAAGTGCGTGAAGAATTCCTGCACTTCAGACGCACAGAGGGCCTGGACGCCGACTCGCTCCTCAGTACCATCAAACAGACGCTCAGCCAATGCAACATCGACCCACACATGTGTGTTGGACAGTGTTACGATGGGGCTGCTGTCATGTCGGGATGCAAGAACGGAGTACAGCAGAAGTTTAAAAAGGAGGTGCCAAATGCCTTGTATATCCACTGCCATGCACACAGATTAAACCTTGTGTTGGTTGATGTGGTCTGCAATGTTGAAGCAGCAACTTTTTTGAAACTGTACAAATGCTGTACAACTTCTTCGCCAACTCAGTCGCCCATGATATTTTCATAAAGAAACGGAGAGAAATGGAGACAACTTCACAACCAGTTGAACTTAAGAACCTATCGGAAACACGCTGGTCATGTCAATATACAGCGCTGGTGGCTATCCGCAAATCACTGCCTGCAGTAAAGGCAACATTTACAGAGATCATGTCTCAGCCCAATGCGCGGAGGAAAACGGAGGCCAGAGCGGTGAGTGGACTAATTGATGAGCAGTTTGTCTTGCTTCTTACGCTTTTCGAGGATCTTTTCCGTGTCACAAAATTCATGTCTGACCAGCTCCAATCTCCCAGCCTTGAGCTGTCCTCCGCAATGGACTTGGCTGATTCGGTCATAGCGACACTGACAGGCAGACGCGCAGAGGAGTCATGGAGGGAAATTCGGGACAGAGCAAGCGACCTGTGCACCAAAGCCAATGTAAATCACAATGAGACACCCGAAAGGAGACAGGCACAGCCTCCTCGACATCTACAGGAGTTTGTTGTGGAAGCCCAAATCGAACGCACACCAGTTACATCCCTAGATGCGCTGCGCACAGAGTGTTTCTACCCAGTAATCGACAGACTTGTGGTTGAAATGAGAAGACGTTTCTCAACCGAGGCCGGTGGTGTCCTATCCGGAGTGTCGGCACTCAGCCCCAAACATGCATCCTTCTTAGACAAAAAATGTCTGCAACCCATGGCCAAGTTCTATGGAGTGACGGAAGAGAACCTGACCCCAGAGCTACACCAGGTTAAGCGCCTACTGGAAAGAAAGAAACAACAGGGACATGAACTGAAGGACACAGCGGAATTTCTGGCTTTAATGCGACCCTACAAGGATGCCTTTACGGATTTACACAGACTAATATGCATTTCCCTGACTCTGCCTGTGACCTCTGCTGGCTGCGAACGCAGCTTCTCCTGTCTCCGTCGCATCAAAAATTATTTAAGAAACAGCAGTGGTGATGCACGGAACATCAACCTGGGCCTGCTGGCTATCAATAAGCAGAGGAGTAAGGCACTGGATGTCCAGCGTGTCATTGATATTTTCGCTTCCAACCACAACAACCGGCGGATCGTGCTGCTTTGAGAACGTCAATCGTGAGTTTTGAATATATTTTTGTAATAATGGGTCATTTGAAAAAGTGTTTTGTATGACAATAGAGACACAGCACACAGGCCATCTGTTGTGTGCTGTGTCTGTCTCTCTCTGTTTACCTGTGTCTCTCTCTCTCTCTCTCTCTCTCTCCCTCCCTCTCTCTCTGTCTCTCTCCCTCCCTCCCTCTCTCTCTCTCCCTCTCCGTGTCAATTCTATATGCCAACTTTTCTTGTTTCTGCCGCTGCGTGGCATGTTGTAACAACGTGGAATTAGCAGAATAGGCTATTGTATTGTTTAATTCACACCTGTTGCTCTCGATGTAATTTAGCTGATAAAAGGAGACTAATAAAAGCCTCACGCGTGGCGTTTCAGTGTCAAGGGGTGCGATATAGCGTGTATGTAATTACATTACAAATACTGACTCGAGCCCCACCACTGTATGGGTTAGCCCTACCATAAACTACCCAACAAAAATACTCTGGCGCCGCCACTGGTGCTGGGCAAGGATTAAACATTTTAATCATGATTAATCAAATAATTTTCTGTGATTAATTGCATTGTTATGCACAACATTCAATAATGAATTCAAAAGTAGTGTATTGCGCACTTTTATTTTAAACAAATAAGGTTATTTTTGAACAATAGTAGGCCTATTCCCTTTACAGAGGAGCATTTCAAATATTTCTTGTAAATCTCCAAAAAACATTAATGCAATAAAATATAAAACCAAAGCTATTTGCCACTGCCAGGGCATTCACGTTTTATCTAGTTTGCTATAGAAAACAAGTTAGCCTCTGAGTCCAGTGATAAGGAAATTCAACTTTATGGTGGTTACACATAACTCTGGTTCTATCAACTCTGCCGCCTGGACTAATTATAAATATCCATGTAAGAGTTTGGTACCTTTCTCCATGTTTCTGTCCCCACTAGTGTTGTCACGATACCAACATTTTTGTTTCGATACCAAGTCAATAATTACGATTTCCATACTTTTTCGATACTTTTCTTAAAAAAGGGGAAACCATCTTAAATGTCATTATTGTGTTTTATTTCAAACCTAGAAATGTTTTTCAGTCATAACACAAACTTTTGAACAATGAGAACAATAAATGAAATTAATTAAAGCAATAGCATTCAAGGTAAAATGACGAGTTATGATATTAGGGTCATGTCGAGTCAGATCGCTATCCCTTTAAGAGAGAGAGAGAGAGGGTGGCGTGTGTGTGCATGGTAGAGCGAGCGAGAGTGTTTTGAAGCGAACGAAGCAGCAGCAAAATAGGTCTGTCGAGTGTCTTCAAAGTTAGATCTGTAACAAAGACCTTAATAAGTGCAACGGTCTCCCAAAGAAGAGCTCACCTGTCTGCCTTATTGAAAAGTGGGTTATTGAACCCAAAGTTTGTTGCTTCGGCCCTGGGAGACTGCAGAGAGTCATCTCTTGTTTTCATCGTCTACAGTCTGGGAGCCAACAGGAACGTTTAACACAAGAATACGTATGAACTAAAATAGCAGCACCATCTCAAACAAGGAGCGAGCTTAGAGGAGCTGACATCGGCTGCAGGGAGTGGAGGCAGAGCGCTGAACACAATCAGGAAATACGGCTCTTATTAAAACAATGTCATTCTTAACAGGTTAAAGTACCGATACTAATGAAATGGAGGAATCATAACGTTTTTAACGGCAGGGTATAGCGATACCTTTCTAGTATCTGCACCGTGCAACACTAGTTCCCGCCACTTATTTTCTGTTTTGGTTCATGTGAGCACTGCAGCAGTCTAAGACCCACATCTCTAAAGCAAAACAAAAAGAACGGTGGTGCAAACGAGCAGATCCAGGATTTGGCTTCTATGACGTCGTTGGTGCAATTTGGCTCACGTGACACGTCCCAACCTATCGTCTCTGGCACACGTGACACGTCCCAACGTCAATATCAGACTCATGCATCTCTCTAAACAGCAGGCGGGGCTTCAGGTGATCATGTTGAGCTGTGTGTCTCCACCAAACTCAGCAGCTGATCGGATCTCTGATCCCTCTCTCTTGTCCGGTTATACTTCACTCGCATTTATGTCCATATCGATCAGATCCAGCTCTCCTGATCGGCCTTTATAGAGAGCACCGATCAAACTATTAAGAGTGAATATTGGCCGTTAATGATCGGCGGCCAATCAATCGGAGCATCCCTAATTATTACCGCACATTTTGACCAGCAGGTTTTGAAATTACCATTTTTTTTAAAAATAAATTTGACCAGCTAAAAACCGTTAATTACCGGCTAACGGAAACCCTGGTCCCAACCTATCGTCTCTGTATACAGTCGTCTAGCTGAATCCCCTCTCGCAGCTGTGTGTCTGTGTATTCAGCAGGATGTCTGCAGGAGGTACTTAGAGTAAAGTTGTTGGCACTGTTCTAGTGGTAAACACTTAAGAAAGAACATGTCAAGCTATGTGCTGTATCAGAAACAATGCGCTGCTTGTTTTGGGAGTAATATGGTCTGTGTTTACATTAGCAAGCATCGCTAACACTCAAAGCTAACGCTGTACTGGAGAGAATATGTGTAACATAATGTCCTTGCGGTAAACCCTGCGAGAGAGAAACGTTTGAGCTTCATACTGTTTCAGAAATAATGCTTGAAGTAGTTTGGAGCATAATATGGCATTTAATCACAGCAGCGTTTAGCTGAGTTTCTCCCAGTAGAAAACTCTTAGCAGGGGAAAGCTGCATGAAGCTACAAAGGGGCGTGGCTAGCAGCAGCTGTTCCATTTACAATGTAAAGCAGAATCAGCCTTTTTGGAACAGGGCTGGAATAGAGGGGTATGAGTAGGGATAGGTACCGAGCCCCGGTTTTAAACGGGCCCCAGTTAAACTCCGACGTTAACGGTCTTTTTATTGGTACTGGAGACATGTAAAAAATATATGTATATGTATTATTGCTACACAAACATTATATTGCAGTTTTAGTGTTGCCAACTCCGTTTCTAATATGCAAAAAGCGTGCAAAATGCGTGTCTTTAGTATTTTCGATCTTTCCAATCCAGGCAATCTCTCCCCCGCCTGCTTGCGAGGGGGCGGGGCAGTTTACACACACGCTACATGCAGCAACACACACACACACACGGAGGAGATGGCGGAGAGAACGCGCTCCGGGGTGTGGTTAAACTTTACCCGTCTCGATGTGGACAATCCTCATTACCAAAAGTGCTATAAGAGTTTAGCATGTAAGGGCGCACGAGCAATTTGTCTAAACATTTAGCATTCAGACGGAGAAATGCACCAGGTTCGACTGTCTTTCTAGTAGCGCTGTAGCCCCCCCGTCCACGAATAACGTTTCCACGTCAGGTGTTATGTGTGCTAGCAGCAACACACGGAGTTAACTACATTATACAAACATGGGTTAATGATTAGAGGTAACTGAGTTTTGTTTACAATTCTGTCATCAGATTATTTAACACGATTTGTTAGAACATTGTTGTTTCTTTTGATGTGAAATATTATGTATTTAATTTAAATAAAAAGCTAGTTCACAATTTGTTTAGTTAGTTAACCTTATTTTTTTCTCCAAAAGAACCGATAAGAGTACCGTTAAAAGACCGGACCGATAAGCGGTATCGATAAAAGTAGTAGTACCGTTAAAACCTTAACGATACCCATCTCTAGCTATGAGTAGTATGAGGCAGAGGTGGGACCAAGTCATT